CCCCCGGGGCCCCGGGCCCCGCCGCGGCAGCGCCAGCGGCAGCTCTCCCGTCCCGCCGGCGGCGGCAACATGGCCTCGGCCGGTAACGCCTCGGAGCCGGAGACCAGCAGCAGCGCGGGCGGCGGAGGCCACCCCGGCCGGGCGCCGAGAAACGGCGGCGGGAGGCGGCGAAGGACTGGAGGGAATCGGCGCGCCGCGGTGCCCGACCGGGAGTATCTGCAGCGACCAAGCTACTGCGATGCGGCTTTCGCCTTGGAGCAGATTTCAAAGGTGCATTCAATCTCTCACTCTTTTTTCCAGAGATACACGCTAGTGGTAGTGCTGCTTTTTCCGCGGGGGAGGAGGAGGGAGGTGGTGTGTTTTCTCGCGGGGGTGGAAGGAGGAGATGGAAACGAAACGGCCACCAATAAAATGCTGGGAAAAAGAGAGGGACGTCTGTGACTCTTCAGTGCGGGAGAGAGTGCCCTCCTTCCCTTCCTGCTCGCCTGTGCCTGCCCTGGTGCGTGCCTGTGCTGCGGAGCACTTCTCCTCCTAAACTTCCCGAAGTAGCCTCGGCTCGGTCCCGGCCTCCCTATGGCTAACCCCAGGCCCGTTCTCCCGCTCCCCCCCTCTCTCTCTCCGCTTCCTTTCTGCTTCTCCATCCCTTCGTAGCGCCCTGCGATCTAGGCAACACCCGCTCCCGGCCGGAACAGGGGAGAAACCGGCCGGCTTCTTGGCAGAAGTTGGGCTTTTGTGAAGTTTTCCGCCGAGCGCCGAGACGGCGACTGCCCTGGGAGAACGGGGTCCCCCAGCAAAGAAGGCAGCGGTTTTCTCCCTTGCCCGGCGGCCGGAGGGGGAGCGAGGGCCATAAACAAATTGCCACCTTAACCCTGCCGTACCGGTCCCCGCGGAGGACTGGAGGTGCGGGGCGGGGCGGGGGGACAGCCCCGGCTGCCAATCTCCGCTGGCCAAAAAATGTTCAAAGTAAACAATCTCCAAAAGCTGCCTTGCTGCAGGGATGGTTTCACTTCAGGGAGCGGATTTCTGGGCTTTGTAAGAAGAGGGAAAGAAGGAGGAAAAAAAAAAAAATCCATGTGGCTGCCCTCTTCCGTTCACAAATATTGTCGTAGCTTACAGATGGCTGCTCTACTTCCTAATTCAGATCACACAGCGTCTCCAAACTCTATGGAAATGAATTACTGCAGATGTTACAGCGCTGCTCACCACGTGGGTCTTGCTCAGCACCAAGCCCTGCTAGGAGCTGGGAATGGGGGAAACGGCCACCGCTACCCGCTATGTATCACACAAAAAATACCCCCGCGTCTCCTCCCAGCCATTCTGGAGTTCCGAGGAGAACAGGGAAAGGAACTTTTCTTTCTTACGGCTGTTGAGATTTGTCAGAAGTGGTTCCTTCTTCCCTGGAGCCACGGGTCTCGCCAGCGCGAATGCTTTGCAGCCTGAGCTGGTGGCGATGCCTCGGGCAAGAGAAGAGTATGGTGGTGGCCAGCACAGGCGAGGGCCCGGGGGCCGACGCAGTGTTGTCACCCCCAAACCCGCCTGTTGGTCTGGGGCAAGGATGGCTGACAGCAGGTACACCTTGTCCCTCTGTGCGTGCTTGAGGGTGGCTGCTCGGCAAGGCCGCGGGGCAAGGGGCCCTGCTGGAAGGATGCCTGTTTGAGCTGTTCACGGCGCTCCATCCTTCCTGCGGGCTCTGCGCCCCCAGGGACACGAGCTGTCCTGAGGGCTGGGGGACTCCCCCACATTGTGGCGGCTGCCGCAGCCCGCAACTACTGACCTCTTCTTGCTTTGCAGGGGAAGGCGACGGGACGGAAAGCGCCGCTGTGGCTGCGAGCAAAGTTTCAGAGACTGTTGTTTAAACTGGGCTGTTACATTCAGAAAAACTGCGGGAAGTTTTTGGTTGTCGGCCTCCTGATATTTGGGGCTTTCGCTGTAGGATTAAGGGCAGCTAACCTCGAGACCAACGTGGAGGAGCTGTGGGTGGAAGGTAAGTCCGGGGGTGGTGCCCGTGTTTTCTGTTGCCGTCCCTGCCCGCCTGGCCGGCCGGCAGCGCAGCCCGGGGCCGCTCGGCATGCCCGGGAGGAGCGGCCGCCGGCGGGGAGGGCGGGCGGGAGGCGGGCCCTGAGCTGGGGCGCGCAGCCCCGGGCGGCGCGTACCACTGCTCCGCTCGCGGGGGGCCGCGGCGGCCAGGCTGTGCTCTCGGCGGTGGGCCGCCGGGACGGCCCGTCAGCAGCGCCCCGTGCCCTCACTTCTGCCCCGCCTCGCAGTGCGGGGGAGCTGCGGGCGGCGGCTTTCCGCGTCCCCGCCGGCGGCGGGAAGTGGCGGCGCTGCCGGGAGGCCTCCCCTCCGCCATTTTGGGAGTGCGCGCGGCCGCGGCGGGGGAGGGGCGGGCGGCGCGGCGGGGCGGGAGCCTGTGTGTGGTCCGGGCCTTGGACAGCTTTCAGCTGTGGGGAGCGCGGGCGCAGCGCTGGAAAAAAAAGAAAGGAATAAATAGGAGAGGGAGAGAAGGAGGGGAAAAAAAACCAACCAAAAACCACGAAAGAAAGGCAGCCGAGGCGAAGCGGAGCCTGGAGTGGGGCAGCCAGCCGGGCGGCGCACTGCGCTGAGAGCCATGGCTCCAGGCTGCCGCGGGTTTGGGGTTTAGGTGTAGTTATTGGTGGTGCTTTCTTCTTCTTTTTTTTTTTCTTCTTTTTTTCATTTCGGTTTTTTTGTTTTGTTTGGTTCCCCCGCCCTTTTTTTTCTGGGGGAAAATACTGTTCATTAAGGATCACGTTCCCCCGTTAGCTGCTGGGTGGACGTGGAAACAGAGTTCCTTGTCTGCAGCAATTACTACTCTAGGTTTATGCCGAAGTAGCTTGCAGCAGTATTTGGCTTATAAAAGTTAATGTGAGGGGCTGCATAAATAATCAGTTCTAAATAGCTCTCTGTACGTGTATGTGTGGAAAAGCTAGGGCTGAGTGCAAACAAAGTCGGTGCCTGTTCCGAAGGTGGTCTGTCCTGCCCGAGGTGAATTAGAGCATATGGGGTCTGCAAGGAGTCCATCCTTGCAGATGACAGCCCTGTTGGGGTCAGGATTGGATTCGTCAGTCATTTAGTAGGTGGTGTTTTTCTCTGTTGTGGAAAATAGTGATCTTTTTTTGGTCCGTGTGGTGTAGTCCAGTAGCTCAAAATACGGTGAGATCTGCTGCCAGCAGTTCTGCCTGAGAAACAGAACAAGGCACTGCTGGGTCCCATCTGTAGGCAGAGACATGCAGTCAGAATTTGCACTGGTCACTAACTACAGTACCTTAAATACTAATGAAAACATCTGTGAATCTTGGGGGTTTTTTGCTGTTAATTTTTCTTCCAAACACACTGTGAGGTTGTTGTGGAGAGATTTCTTTTGTCAGTTTTTGTTTTTAGGTATTTTGTTTTTGCTTTTCTGTATTAGATAGATTAACATGTGATTGCAGCTCCATCCCACGTGCTCCGCTGACATTTATTATCCTGATGTAACTGGTGTTCGCTTGCTTGGAATGGTGATCCTATTCAATTAATGCCACCTGCTTTTTGTAGCCTTGTAATACCAAGAAACTACTTGCTGATGATGCCTCAGTGACTGGCCTGTCAGTATAAATACAATTTTCAAGGAAAAAGAATAGGATTTGCAAAAAAATTGCTACACTGGTCTCTTCTCATGTCATTGTTTTATGGGGAAGGAGTGGGGAGAAGTCCCTAGTATAGAATCTAGTGGAAATTGATCTCTGAGGTTTTTATAGCCAAGGTGAATTGATAATGTGGCTAGTTTGACAGAGTTGACCTATGTAATTTGACATCTATTTAGCTTTTCATTGGAAAGAAATTAAAACTCTGTATTTAGAAATCCTTGCATTTCAAAAGTAACCAGCAAAAACTAGCAGATTAAGGTGAAATAAAATATTCTGGATTAAATTTTATTTATTTTCTAGTTTTCCTGTTTTAGCACTACATGACCATTCATAGACAAGGGCTTGCTATAATGTGCTTTCTTGGTAGTAGCTCTGTAGATGTTCTGCTCATGAACTAGGGTGTTCCTAACAGATAGCAATTGCATATTTTTTGTACTACAAGCAGGAGTACAGATTGAGAGTGTGAGATGGAACAGATAGCATGAAAAATTCTGTTCTTCCTCTGCAGAAGTGTAAAACAGCACCAAACTTTTTCTTATGCACATACATGAAACCGGTCCTAACAGCTTTAAAGTACTTTCCATGGAGGTTAGTACAGTTAGGGACTCTTTAGATCAAGGTTTCTTAGTGAAGAAGCAATGGCTGAATTGTCCTGTTTATTAAAACAGCTATCTCACTTTACCTTTTACTTTTTGTTTACTGAGAGTTTGGATTAGGCAGTGCTGGCCAAATACAGAATCCTAGAATTGTTTAAGTTGGAAAAGATTCGTAATATCATCAAATCCAACTGCTAAGCCAGCACCATTGTGTTCACTGTGTCTTTAAATGTCACATCTAAACACCTTTAAATACCTCTAGGGATGGTAATTCAGGGGTGGCCTGTTCCAGTGCTTAACAGTCCTTTCTGTGAAGAAATTCTTTTTGCTCTCAAATCTGCTTTTCTGGAGCAACTTGAGACCATTACCTCTCATCCTGTCACTTGCTGCCTACATCCTGCATTCAGGTAGCTGTAGAGAGGGATGAGGTCATCCCAAGGCTGCATTTCTCCAGGCTAAATTATCCCAGCTCCCTCAGCCACTCCTCTTAGGACTTGTGCTCCATTGCCCTTCTCTGGACTTGCTCCAGCCCCTCAATGTCTTTCTTGTAGAGAGGGGTTCAAAACTAATCACAGAATTTGAAGTGTGGGCTTATCAGTGCTGAGTACAGGAGAGAATCACTACCCTGGTCCTGCTGGCCACACTGTTGCTGATACAGGCCAGGATGCCATTGGCCTTCCTGTCCACCTGGGCACGGCTGGCTCATGTTCAGCACCCCCAGGTCTGTTTCCTGGGGTAGCTTTCCAGCCACTCTTCCTCAGGCCTGTAGCCCTGTATGGAGCTGTTGTGACTCAAGGGCAGGACCTGGCACTTCATGTTGTAGAACATGGTCCTCATACCATTGGCCTTGCCCATCCATCCTGTCTAGGTCCCTCTGCAGAGCTTTCCTGCCCTCCTGCAGATTAATGCTCCCACACAGCTTGGTGGTATCTGGGAGCTGACTGGGGCAGCATTTGAACTGCTTATTCAAATCATTGGTAAAGATATTAGACAGGACTTGTCCCATCACTGAGCCCAGGGGAGCCCCTCCAGTGACTGGCTATCGTCTAGATGTAACTCTCTCTGGGCCCTGCCATGCAGCCAGTTTTTAATCCAGCAAACAGTGCAGCTGGACAAACCACGAGCAGCCAGTATCACCAGGACAATGCAGTAGGAAACAGTGCTAAAGGCATTATTAAAATTCAGGTAGACAATATCCATGGCATTTCCCTCATCCACTAAGTTGTAGAAGAAGATAAGATTGGTCAAGCAGCACCTGCCTTTCCCAACCCTATTCCAGCTAGACCTGATCACTGGACTGTCTTGTATGTGCTGTGTAGATTCATGGGTTACTTGAAATATACTTCAAGTAACAGTTTTGATTTGCTAGTGAGACTTTTTACAGTTATTACTGCTGAATAAATTGGCAGCATTTAAAGAGACAAATTTGATAAGGTCTGATTCTGAATACTATGGAACATAATATAGCACTGAAGTTTGCTGAAAGTAAATGGTTGCTTTAAAACCGTAGCAGAATTAATTAACAAACAGTGAACTTGGAATGAGTTTTAAGACCATGCACATTCCAAGTTAAATGATTAGTAGTCTGAGCCTGCAGCTGTTATGGTTGAAATATTTACATGAGTTTAGAAGCTCACCTGCTAGGCAAACTTTCCAAGGGAGATGTTCGAAACATCATTCTTTCAGATTTCCTGTAGTAGTCTTCCTCCTTCAGAATTTATGCTAGCATTCTTGGCCTTCTCTGAACCTCCTGATACCAAAGTGGCTTTCCTCTCAGCTTGTTTCTTGGCACTAAGTGTTGTAGAGTAGCTTTTTGTTTTTCAGGGTTTCTTTTAAACATAGTGCTGTTCTGGCTGCTGTTCAGAATACTTCATTTATTACTCTGTGTCCCACAGTGGCTTCATCGATGTTGCGGTCTTGTAGACTTGCTCTCAGCCATCTTTGCCTGGGACATATACTTGTATCTTCTCAGCGCATGAACAGATCTGTCATCCCCACGTGCATACCTTGCTGCTGGTGGCAGGGGGAAGGGGTTGTCTGCCAGGATAGACAAATTCTGGACTGGCATTTTAATGGCAGTTCTGTTATGCAGGTTGATACATGGACACCCACATTCTGCTGTATGTGGGTGTCCATGCATCCTGGAGCTGTGGAGGCTGTTTAGCATCTTTATACATTGTAGACACAGAGAGGGAAATAAAGGCTTTGCATTGATTTCCTCAGTGACTGAATTTTGTTGGACACAGATGTGCTTTTAGAATCCTCCATTCATAGCTAGAAAGTGCTCTGGATGGAAAAGAAATCATGCTCATAAATGGATATGTTTATTTGCTACCACTCTAAATAGGCAGTCTGAGATCCAGTGTGTCAACAGCAGTCACACATGTAAATTCACAGCCTCTGCTTCTGAAAGAAGGTAGTTTTGTGGCTCCAGAGAAGGTTCTGTTAAAAGAAGCTTGGAATTTAGCTACTGCAGTGCCTTAAATGATATTAATTGAAGCAGCTTATAATGGGGGAGATGGTCTAGTCTTGTGCTGTGATATTTCATTTCATGTCAACATTGTCTTGGGATTCTTTTCTCCTCACTTTTTAAAATTAGCTTTGTTCCTAAAATGGTCAAAGATCACACTCTTCTTCTCTTTCTTTTTGCTTTCTTCACTATTTGGACTAGCTGCAGTTCAGTCAAACTATTCCCTTCTTAAGTAGCCCTCTTCACAAAACTTTGTGAGCTTGAACTGAGCTCT